TTAAAATAATTCACTAGCTTAGACATACCTGTCGTAACTTCCATTAATCAGACTTCATTACATCTCTTATAAATGTGTAACACATATCTAAACTGTGTTTAAAATTATAATGGCTTAACCCTTTTAAATAGGAAGCAAAGACACGTATTTAGGTTTTTATCATTTTTCAATCAAAACATTATTATGTTAAAGTTTGTACGTTTTTAGCAACAAAACATTATGTTTCTTTTATTTGAACTATTTTTAATTTATTTAATGTACTTGATTTGTAAATTAAACACCCAATTATTTCCCTTGGAAACTTACAAAATATGAATTAAAATTTTTGGTAAATACTTATATGCATTTGTGAACTAAAATAACAATATGTACACTGCAGTAAGCATAATATATTATACACATTTAAATAAACTAAAATAGAAAATATCTAACCAAGTAAAATATGTACCTGCTACTTTGGGAGCGGGTCGGATGTAGCTGTATATAACGTTGTGTGTGAGTTTAATATGGAAGACCATATGTTGATACAATCCTCAATAAAGCATTCACCACATTGGTTTGAGTAGTGGAGTGATTGATTGCCCCATTTAAATTATCGGACTTTTGACTAAGATCAAGGTGTACTATATGTCACGGGTTCTGTACAGAAGTCTTAGCTGTGGCCGCAGTTTTTCCTAACGTTAGTAAGATACCCATCTGAGCTGGGTGGATATAAGGACGTCCTACATATATGGCATACTGTTTGGTTAACTTAGTTGCCAGTTCTGCTACATCGAAACATCCAGGTGGTCAACGATCTAATTGTTTGGGAAATATACATTGATGCTGTTTGTTTGTTTCATATAAACAACAAACCTCGGCTAACTTATCTGAATCAAATGTTACAAGAGGTAGAACGTGAAATGTGTGAGTCGCAATTGAGATCGTTCATCACTTCCCCCTTCTGTTGACACGCGGCTCTCCCTATGATGCAGGAAGGTAAACAACAACACCATGTCTTTCAGTTAGCATAAACTTTGTTAATTCTTATTTCTGGTTTGTAGAATCCAGTTGAACGACAAGTTAATTGTATTGTTTACTTCAGTGTGTCAGAAAGTGGAAGCTTACCAAACTATTGTGTTTGCGAATATTGGTATTTAATTGGTTGGCGAATTATTAAGATGCATAAAAAATTATTACATACGGAGAAAAATGTATGCATTTATAATACAGAATGTAACCTATTTATCTTTATTTAACTATGAAATTTTTTTTTTAATTTAAGTTTTTCGTTGTGTTATCAATAGAGCTTGAGCAGTTCTAAAAAAGTTGCTTTTTTATTTACAATAAGAAGTTTGCTAATTACTTCCCACTTTTACATCCTATTATTTTATGGGAAACGACTCTCATACTATTTATAACCCTAGCTATGGAAATGAATTTTTTTTTTAAAATAGCCATTAAATAAATACATATTAACAAAATAAGCCATAGTAAACAAATTGGAATATGTTTATGTGAATGAGTGCTTGATTTTGAGAATGTTTGTATTAGCCAATTATTGTAACCTGTACCACTTTTGCTCAATCTTTTTAAAGACATACGAATGAGTCGGTTTAAACAATGATTGCTGAGCAGTTTAGCTCTTCCCAATTAATACCTTTTTTTTGGTAATAAAATGTTTGTCTGGAATTTAATGTAAAAACACGAATCCTTTGAGTTCAATAGACCCAAACGACAATGGGCACAAAGATATTCGAGAGGTCCATAAAATATTTCAAAACTCATTTATTTTGTATTTAAAATTAATATGGTTATACAATCCTGACTGATTGTTTTTTAGGACTTTAAAAAGATTTGATGTATTTGACGTTTTAGTATTTTCAGCAATTTAACACAATTAAAAAAAGCCAAAAGCAGTTAGGTTGTCACGTGCTAATGGTGACATCATTAATTGCTTCCTACTATTCGATAGCCTAGCATAATTTTTGCTATACACAATGTAAAAAAAATGGCAAAAATAGGGCATATGGTTTAAAATAACATAGTTATTTAAAAGCTATGTAGCCATTGATGTTTGGTAGTTTAGAGATGTGTTACGACATTTTGGTCAACGTCCCGACAAGAAAAACGGAAGAAATAAACCCTAAATGAATGTCCCTTATAGTGTTTCTGTATAAGAAGGACAGAGGGTGGACGTAACCGTGGAGTAAATGAATTTAATACAACTTTAAGTGTTTACTGAATGATGTCATAATTAAAATTACCTTTTTTTTTTCTCTGATATATGAACAGTGCATCGATTATTTAAAATGGTTTTTATTTGAAATTGAATTGTATTGGTTAAAAACAAAGTAAACTGCAAGCATTTGTTTGTAATACGGTTAACACTCAAACTAGTTAATTAAATTATATTTTAAAGTTAATAAAATGATTTAATTACTTTACAATCACTGTAAGAAATGTATTGTGCCCCATTGTTTTCGAATATGTAATATTACATAACAATACATGTTATTCATCTAATCTATTAATTTATAATTAATTTTTTCTGAAATTCTGTTTTAATAACTACACATTCGGCATGTACCTCGAAGTAATACTCGAACTTGAATTAAACCAACTTTTTCGCTCGTCTTTAAATGTTGCAAGCCATTGGTTAAAGCTGGTGAGTAGTAACGAGATTTCTATCATTGGACTTAACTGATTATTGTGTTTGTTCTTCCACTATAGATTGGTGACACTTTTTTAGCCTCGTTCACATATCTGAGTTTAATAGATTTAACAAATAGGCTACTTTGTTAAATTTACATTACTATCTTCTAAATATTGTCTAAAATACAAACATTTTTTTCGGAAATCTGAGACAGTTTCAGTAACTTCAATCACATGAATGTCGATACATTACTGTTAAAATTAGTACACACAATAATTACTGTTTCTATTTTAGCACAGTTCACGGTAACATGATAATAAAAAATAAATCCATACATCTTTATTCAGGGTGAAATGGATTTTCTAGCTTACCACAAACATACAGTAAAAAATATCTACAACAAATGTTGTTGTTTTTTTAAGCTATATAAAGCAGAAAGTAATTAGACGGTGTTAACAATCAGTTAAATCTGAATGTTGAGTCTAAGCGTTTATGAAAACAGTGGCGGTTAAGCAAAGAATTCAGAAATAGCTGCCCATACGATATTATAAAACTTCGCGCTAGTTAAAGAGTTAGTGTCGATGTCACATGCCTATTATAGCCCTTTGCGATGGACCCGTCCCATGCGCATTTAAGACAAATGCTTGGGATCTGTCAATATCGTAGATCTAACCCAACTAACCCGACATTTAAGACAAATGCTTGGGATTTGTCAATATCGTAAATCTAGCCCAACTAACCCTCCTGGACGGTACAACGGCAGGGACGGAGGTAGCTGCGTCCACCCGTGACATGCAGCTGACCTGTGGTGGTGAGAAAAAAGGGAAAGAGAGAGGGGGTTTAAAAACACATGGCGGTAATTATGTCCAAGAAAAAAAATATTCCTAATTGGCTTAAAGTTATGAGAGGTCATAGACATTTTTATTATAAAATCTATCTATCTATATACTACTAAAAGTCAAGTTTGTTTACATGTTTGAATATTTATTTGTTTTTTTTGTTTGTTTTTTTGTTTGTCCGATCGAGTTTTGTGATATGTTCGACTCTATCTGGAGAGCTGTAAAGTAGTATGTAGGTAGAGAAAAATTTTTTAATGCAGACAGACTGTTAATCACAAATTTATTTAAAGACGTTAATTAATTTATTGATTTATTCATACGTAGAGTAACCCTATTTTTTAAAAAGATTTGAAAAGCCATTAGACTCGACGGAAACAGTGACGTCACATGATGTGTTTATTTTTTTACATCGATAATGGCGTGTTCCCATTCCAATGTTTAACGCGTTTTAAAGCTAATTTTCTGTCGGCTTTAACTTTAACAATACGTCCGTTTGCTGTATTTATTACGTTCCAACACTTATATCAATTTTAAACTGTCTTTTTCATTTAGTTTTACGATAAATTTCTCTAGATCTACAATCTGTCCAAGAAAGTTATTTATTTATTTATAGATCTAGATTTAGAATCTAGGTCAAATCAAATATTTATTGATAAAAAATACAATAAAAAAAAGAGACTTAAGCAAACCAGTCGTAGATCTAGAATATAGATAACTCTATCTAGATTTAGATAATAATGAGTTTCTATATACTAAAATATTTTAGACCTTTATTATTTTGTATAAATCTAAATCTTTGTTTCGACTATGCTAATTTTGAAATGCTGGATGCAGGGCCTATTTGCGTAGCTTAAGATTCCTACGCGGCTTTGATACCGGTAATTTTGCTAAATTGGAAACGTAAATTCTAAATATATTCTATCTAGATCTAGATTTAGATAATAATAATAATCATGAGTTCTATATGCTAAACTATTTTAGACCTTTATTATTTTATATAAATCTTTGTTTGTATAGCTATGAAATATGCTAATTAGGAAATGCTCGCTCCATGGCCTCTATTTGCATAATTTAAGATTTATACGCGGCTTCTATACTGCTAATTTTGCAAAATTATAAACGTAAACTCTAGATATAGCTCAGTCGTAGATCTAGAATATAGATAATTCTATCTAGATTTAGATAAAATAAATGTCAACAGTGTTTCTTATTTTAATGGTATCATTGGTTTGTTTCCCTATCTAAAGTCGACAGTGTTCTTTAATAGTAGATTTTCCACATCAACCGTATTTTTATTTAATGTTAGTAGTTTAATTAAAATAACTCTGAATTTTTTAAAATGTGGACATAGGCAGCGCTGTTCAATCTTCATCTTTTGAGCAGACTTTTTAAGACTGCATTTATTATTTCATTTGAAAGTTATTTAACAAGCTTACTCTAATGCGAAATACAACATAAGTGTTGTGTCAATCTGCTGAACGGACGTCTTTATTAATTTTTAATATTATCAGTTGATTGGAAAAAAAATGCCGGGAAGAAAAAGAAAGGGTAAATCAAATTGGAGTTCAGATGCGGTTAAACAGGCGAGGCGCAGGAGAGAAAATGAAACTGCTGAGCAAAAAGCAGCACGACTAAAAAAAGATAGGGAACGAAAACATAAACAGCGCAAAGATGAAACAGAGGAAGAAAGATTACACCGTCTAAAAGAGCAAGCAGAACGAACAAAAGATAATATCAACGACGAAACAGAAGAAGAAAGGTTGCAGCGTTTACAGAGAGTGTTAGAAAGAAGGAAATCAGAAATAGCCACAGAGACAGAAGAAGAAAGGTCGCAGCGATTACAGAGAGTGTTAGAAAGAAGGAAATCAGAAATAGCCACAGAGACAGAAGAAGAAAGGTCGCAGCGATTACAGAGAGTGTTAGAAAGAAGGAAATCAGAAATAGCCACAGAGACAGAAGAAGAAAGGTTGAACCGTTTGAAAGATATGGCGGTACGGACTAAAAATAAAACGATGAATGAAACTGGGGAAGAGAGATCTGAACGATTGAAAGATATGTCGCTAAGAAACAAAAATAGAATTACCACTGAGACGGATACTAATAGATACAAACGTTTGAAAGATCAGACAGAACGTAATAAAAAGATGTTGCTTAGTGAAACAGTACAGCAACAATTGCAGATGACCACGCCCCGAACTACGATAACCCGCACACACCGTCCTCTGTCTGCCGATGTTGGGCACATGGATAAGATTTGTGCCCACTGCCGTGCTTATCGCTTACATGGAGAGACTGCTAACTTTTGTTGTATGAGCGGAAAAGTCAATATGGCCAATCTGCCTCCACTCCCACATGAGCTTCAACGTCTGTTCAGTAGTGACCAGCCTGACGCCAGGGAGTTTAGAAAAAACATAAGGCAGTATAACTGCCTGTTTCAGATGACTTCATTTGGTGGTAAGGAAGTATTTTCTCAAAAGCGCGGCTGGAACCCATCTGTCATCATCCAAGGACAAATTCATCATTATATAGGCTCCCTAATTCCAGAACCCCACAAACAAGCACAGTTTCTACAAATTTACTTTTTAGACCCACATGACAGGGTTAAACTTAGAATGGATATATTAGAAAACGGGGGGATTCAACGTAGTATTGTAGAGTTGTTAGAGGGCGTTTTTAGAACTTACAATCCCTATGTTAGGTCCCTAACGCTAGCTAACGAACAAATTAAAGATATCCCAGAGGCTAGGATTGTTATTGACCCCAACAGACGGCCATCCCAGGAACATGAGAGGAGGTTTAATGCGCAGGCCGCCAATGAGGTGGCGGTTATTTTAGAAAATAACTATTCCCCCGAAGTAACGTCAAGGCATGTGAAAAAGGTGGAAAAGTTCAAACAATATCCGAGTCCCACCGATCATACGACTGCTTGCAGTATGTTATTTTTTTTTCCATGGGGTGAAGATGGTTGGCACAGTCAATTACAGCTGACAAACCAAAAGAAGTTAACGGCTATGCGGTACTATTCTTTCCGCATACAAAATCATGAGCATGAATTTAACCACATACTCTGGGGAGGACGACTGTTCCAGCAATATTTGGTTGACATGGCTGCAAAGATGGAAGGCGAACGTCTGAACTTTATAAGAACTAATCAAGTTTCATTACGCTCATCTACTTATAAAGGCCTTACAGATGCACTGAACGATAACGATGATCTACAAAATATCGGCAAGCGCGTCATTCTTTCGTCAACTTTTGTCGGCGGACCACGGTACATGATGGAGAGATGCCAGGATGCCATGATGTACATACGCAAATATGGCAATGCATCATTCTTCATAACCATGACCTGTAATCCAGACTGGCCAGAAATACAGGAAAATTTATTTTTAAATAAAAAACCTTACGACAGACCTGATCTTATTGCTAGAGATTGTGAATTAAAAAGAAAATTATTCCTCAAGTACTTGACAGGGCCTGACGGTTTGTTAGGCAGGTGCATTGCTTTTATAATAAGCACCGAATATCAAAAGCGAGGACTGCCTCATCTGCACTGTTTACTTTGGCTCGACGAAGAAACCAAACCTCGACCAAATGTGTATGACCAGTACGTGCAGGCTGAAATACCTAACCCATTGGAAGATGCTGAGGGACACGCTTTAGTTCTAAGGCACATGATTCATGGTCCGAACTGTTGTGTCACATCTCCTTGTTGGAAAAATGGCGCGTGTTCTAAACGCTATCCTAAATCTTTCGCCGAACACACAATGTGTGGAGAGGATTCATATCCCGTATATAGGAGAAGATCGGTGGATATGGGTGGATTTTTCGGCTACAAAGAAGGGAGAGAGGGAACACCAATAACATCTGAGTGGGTCGTCCCTCACAATATGCAGCTCTTGAAAATATTTAACTGTCATTTGAATGTGGAAGTCTGCACTTCGGTTAAATCAATAAAATATGTCGTTAAATACACACTAAAAGGCAGTGACCAGGCAATGTTTGGTCTCAAGCAAAACGACGAAATTGCCCAGTATTTGGCAGGCCGCTACATTGGCCCATCTGAAGCTGTTTCGTCCATTTTAGGATTTCCGGTTCATGAAAGAGACCCCCTGGTAGTTAGGCTGCAAGTCCATCTTCCCGACGAACAACATGTTTATTTTCAAGACACTGCTGGGCTTACTGACACAGAGATGTGTAAAACAACTCTAACCCAGTTTATGAAATTAAACACAGATGACCACTTTGCCAGAGCATTGTTTTATGCTGAAGTACCACGGTACTTTACCTGGGCCAATAAGCAATGGCAGCGCAGAAAGGTTGGAAAAGAAAACCCAAATCATCCAGGGAGGTTTGAGGCCAATGTTTTGGGACGGGTCTACACAGTTTCACCACAATGTGGTGAATTGTACTATCTACGGCTCCTTCTGCACCACGTAAAAGGACCGCAATTTTTCGATGATTTAAAAAAACACGATGAAAATACCTTGGCCACATTAAAAAATGCGCGTATAGCAAGGGGCCTCTTACAGACTGATGATCACTGGCGTCGGACATTACTAGATGCAGAAAACACGAGACTGCCGAGGGCTATGCGAGATTTATTTGTAGTCCTGCTGACACATGAGGAAATTGTCAACCCTAAAGAACTGTGGGAGCAGTTTAAAAACTCTATGTCACAGGACTACTTACAGTCGGACATGTTTACTCGCACAAATGAGAACCCAACACCATGACCAGGCACTCTTATATATTCAAGAGAAGCTAGAAGCATACGGCAAAAGACTCGCTGACTACAGTTTGCCGACACCAACTTCTCTACGTTATCTTGGACACAATGAGGATATAACCAAAGAGACGAGCTACTGCAGGGAAAAATTGTCCATTTACGTCCGAGAAAAGGCACCCATGTTGAACTGTGAGCAGTTAGCAGTATACAATTATGTATTAGAGTGTCTTGAGGAAAATAAACCATCCATGGTTTTTATTGATGCCCCTGGAGGAACAGGTAAAACTTTCCTCATAAATTTAATAATATCACAGGTAAGAGCCAAAGGAGATATCGCCCTTGCAGTGGCATCTTCAGGTATAGCAGCAACATTGATGCCTGGTGGCAGAACTGCTCATTCCCGTTTTAAAATCCCAATAATAGTAGATGACAATTCAGTATGCAACATAGAAACGAACTCGAATACCGCAGGTCTTCTCCGCCAAACAAAGCTTATTGTTTGGGATGAATGCTCCATGGCCAGACGAGAATGTTTTGAAGCTGTTGACAGAACACTGCGCGATGTTTGTCATAAGGACGTCGCTTTTGGAGGCAGTATCACTATTTGCTGTGGAGATTTTCGACAGCTTCTGCCTGTAGTCAAGCGTGGAAACGAAGTAGACATACAAAATGCCTCCATTAAAAAATCTTACCTTTGGGAGTTATTTACAAAGTTTAATTTGAATTTAAACATGCGTCTTGAAGAAGGAGAAATTGACTACAGCAGGTTCTTATTGAATGTTGGGGAAGGTAAAGTACCTACAAATGAAAATGGGGAAATAGAATTACCGGAAGATATGGTCCTTAACAATATTTCTATCGAACAATGTATGAAAAACATATACCCTTCATTTGAAGAACCTAAGGTGGTATTTTCAAAAAGATGCATTTTGGTGCCATTGAATGAAAATTTAAGAAAAATAAATTCAATGAGCATACGAGAATTTCCCGGTCAGTTGAAAGAATGTTTCTCTTTCAACTCTGTAATTGAAGGAACTGACTCTGCACATTTTCCCACTGAATTTTTAGATTCTGTTGAGTTGTCTGGTCTGCCACCGCATAGGTTGGAACTAAAAATAGGTTCCCCTATAACACTGCTACGAAATCTTGATCCCCCAAGATTGTGCAATGGAACTAGACTAATAATTCAAGCGTTGCATAACAACCTTATAGTTGCTAAAATACTTATAGGACAATATCAAAACGAAACTGTTTTAATACCAAGAATAACAGTAAAATTAACTGAAGGCGACGATATTCCCCTACAAAGAACACAGTTTCCAGTCCAGTCATGTTTTGCCATGACAATACACAAGGCTCAAGGGCAGACCATGGAAACTGTCCTTATTTTCTTAGAAAAACCTGTATTTCAGCATGGTCAGTTACATGTAGCACTTAGCCGAGGAAGAAGAAAGGAAAATGTTAAGGTGCTTTTAAAAGATAGCATATTTACAAGGAATGTAGTCATTAGAAGTATTTTGCAATAAATTCAATTTTGATGTTTTTGATGTTCTGGTTTTACTGTAGAGCTTTAAGCAGGAAATAGTTAGATCTATGTTGCCATGGTGTAGGTCTAAATAAATATTTGGTTATCACATTCATCAATTAATACAGATATTTCCTTATGCAAATAAATATGATTTAACAGTTTCATCGTAAACAATTTTTTAAAGTTTTTTTTTGTTTAAAGAAATTTCCAGTAGTTCAATACCTCTGATGATGTGTGAACAAAAACTAAAATGTAGAAGTTTATTATCTTTTTACATTGTTGGTCCAAAATCATATTTATTTGATGATCCAATATGTAGCCTAATTGTGAATATTATAGCTTTTACTAGGCCAGCAAAATGTCATATTACACCTTTTTTATTACTACTCTGATAATAATAGTTCTAATAATAACAAATCTGTATCTTTAATTAATTTATTTGAAACCAGTTTTAAATGGTATACTTTCATTTTTTTAAATATTCTATCATTATAAAATATTTTTTTTATTGTCTATGTGTTGTTATTATATTTCGTTTTGTTTCTTTTTAAACACACACAAACAGCACTTTAATAACCTATAATTATCTCTCAACGATTCAACTGAGTAACATAAAATTGTATTTTTCATTAGGACATAAAGTAAATAGCCCAAAACACTAAAGTATTATTTCAATCTGATAATCTGAGTGTGTAATATAGTTCACTTTGCTCTACTGTAAAGTGTACTTAAAATGTAATGTCGACGAAATAGTTCTGTTTAAACAAATTGCATACAGTGCAGGACCCTTAACTTTTTTTTATGATACCCGATTTGACAAAAAAAAAAAAAAAAAAAAAACACCTGGTTCTTAAGTTACACACACAAATATGTGGTGGTCAGGCTATTTGTGACGATGTGGGAGGGGGGGGGGGGGCGGGTGGAGACATAAAAGTCGTCAAAAAGTCCTATTTGAATAACCCCTTAACCCACAGTTATCCAAAGGATGACGGGTGGTCTAGTATACTACTAAAAGTCAAGTTTGTTTACATGTTTGAATATTTATTTATTTGTCCGATCGAGTATCGTGATATGTTCGACTCTATCTGGAGAGCTGTAAAATAGTATGTAGGTAGAGAATAATTTTTTAATGCAGACAGACTGTTAATCACAAATTTATTTAAAGACGTTAATTAATTTATTGATTTATTCATACGTAGATTAACCCATTTTTTTTAAAAAATGTTAAAACATTGACTAAACTTTGTGGGAATAGTGACGTCCCTTGATGTGTTTACTTTTTGGTATGAATCTAGAATCTAGCCTAGGGCCTAGATTCTAGATCTAGATCTAGGTCACTAGACTCAATGTAAATTCTAGATCTAGACTTAATGTAAATTCTACATCTAGAATCTACTTCGGGCCTTAATTATTTTATATAAATCTTTGTTGAGGGGGGTTCAAATGGAAAGTTTGAGTGGGGGGTGCACATCAAAAGTTTGAGGGGGGAGGGAGGGGGGTTGAAAATCGAAATCTTGGGGGGGGGGGGGTTCAAATCGAAAAGTTTGTCCCCGGGCGCCGGGAAGGGTCGCTATGCCTCTGAGTGACAGACGTGATGTTTTTTGATGGATGACCCCCGAAACCCACAGTTATCCAACGGAAGACGGGTATTCTAGTATACTACTAAAAGTCAAGTTTGTTTACATGTTTGAATATTTATTTTTTTGTTTGTTTGTTTGTTTGGCTGATTGACTATCTCGCATGGTTGCACTCATCGTGGAAAGCTTTAAAATAGTATGTAGGTAGAGAATTTTTTTTGTTTTAAGACAGACTGTTAATCACAAATTTATTTAAAGACGTTAATTAATGTATTGATTTATTCATAGTTAAATTAACCACATTTTTTTTTAAATTTTAAAACATTAACTAAACTTTGTGGGGATAGTGACGTCCCTTGATGTGTTTACTTTTTGGTACAATAAAAATGGCGGACTCCATCATAGACTTTGTGGCCCATTCAATAGTTTAACGCGTTACAAAGCTAACTTTCTGCCGGCTATAACTTAAACAATTCGTCCGTTTGCTGTATTTATTACGTTTCAACACTTATATCAATTTTCAACTGTCTTTTTCATTTAGTTTTACAATAAATTTCTCTAGATCTAAAGATCAGCTGTCGAAGGAAAGTTATTTATAGATTTAGATCTAGAATCTAGGTCAAATCCAATATTTATTAGTTATAAATACAATCCAAAAAAACGAGACTTAAGCAAACCAGTCGTAGACCTAGAATATAGATAATTCTATCTAGATTTAGATAATAATGAGTTTCTATATACTAAAATATTTTAGACCTTTATTGTTTGGTATCAATCTTTGTTTTGACTAGGCCCCTATGCAAATTTTGAAATGCTGGAGTCAGGGCCTAGATCTATTTGCGTAGCTTAAGATTCATACGCGGCTTCTGTGTGCAAAATTATAGACGTAAACTCTAGATATAGCTCAGTCGTATATCTAAAATATAGATAACGAGCCGGCCCGCGGCATAACATACGCCGCTATTTTAGTTGTTGTTTTTTCTACTTTTCAGTAATTCATAATTCGACAGTACCAACGCTGACACTGAAAATATTTCTTTAAAACACTATAAGTAGCTCGTTAAGGACCATAACCCCCCCCCCCTTCCTCCCCCCCCCCCCCTCTTCCTCTCCCCCCCCCCCCCCCCCCCGTTTAAAATCGTTTCAAACTAAATTATCTGCCCCTAATAGCCGTCACTAAACCCAACTCCACGAAGGTAAACATAGCGTGAACCACAGCTCACTAAGATCATGTAGGGGTGGGGATGTTAGGGAGCGCGCTTGCAGCTTGTTTTCTAACGGCTCGAAGAAGAGAATTATATATATAGATTCTATCTAGATTTAGATAATAATAATTTTCTATATACTAAACTATTTTAGACCTTTATTATTTTATATAAATGTTTGTTTGGAATATGCTAATTTTGAAATGCTCGCTCCGGGCCTATTAGCGTAGCCAATGATTAGATCTAGATCTAGATTCTAGATCTAGCAAGAAAAACTAAACTTAAGACTTAAGAAAACGAGTCGTAGAATCTAGATCTAGATAATTCTATCTAGATCTAGATAATTTCAAACCTTCTTTATTTTATATAAATCTTTGTTTGGCTAATTTAAGATAAAATTTAATTTTAAAGTTACTACTACTAGACTTAGATCTAGATCTATGCGCGTAAATAAAGTTGCAAAAGGAGACTTAAAATATGGTATAAAAATTCACTTGTACTGTCACGAGTAAATAGCTAAGTTGGTAGCGTAGCCGGTTATCATGCGGGTGGCACAGGTTCTAGACCAATACGTCAATGATATTTTTTTTTCAATTTTTTTTTTTTTAGATGTGAATGATAAAGTTGCCTATCTGAACTTAGCAGGACACAGGGCAGGTGAAGTAGAGTCCATCTGTTTCTTTGTCATAAGCATATGAAAGGATAGTGTGGTCAGAGAAATGCTCGGCTGGAATCGTTTTTTAAACGATAAAAACATGTTGTCTGAGACTTGGCGGGACACTGGGCAGGTGAAGTAGAGTTGAGTAGGTCACCTGTGACGTCAGTATAGGAAGGGATAGTCCGAAATCGGTGTTTTTGGTGTTTTTAAAAGATAAAAAAAAAACATATTTTTGAATGTGGGGTCTGTTTTTTGTGACGATAAGTGACACTGCAGTAGCGTAGCGAGGAGGGGGGAGGGCGTGAGGGGAGGCGGGGGGGGGGGGGGGGAAGGGGAGGTTGGGGGAGGTGGAGGGGGAAGGGGGGGCGGGGGAGGGGACATATGTTGGGGCGCCAAAATGGTTTGGAAAAATAAATTGAAAGGTTGAGGGGGTTGCAAATCGAAAGTTTGAGTGTGTGGGGGGGGGGGGGTGCACATCAAAAGTTTGAGGGGGGGGGGGGGGTTGCAAATCGAAATCGTGCGGGGGGGGGGGGGGTTAAAATCGAAAAGTTTGTACCCGGTCGCTATGCCTCTGAGTGACAGACGTGATGTTTTTTGATGGATGACCCCCGAAACCCACAGTTATCCAACGGATGACGGGTATTCTAGTCTAACTTAAATTTAATATGCATTTATTTTATAATAACAATGGAAAACATACCAAATAGTTCATAACAAAAACATAACATTGATACAACGACAATCTGCGAATGTTTTTTTTTCAAATGTGTAAAAAATTATGATATTGTGTGTATTTTTGCAATTACATAGATTTTTAAAAGATAAGACAAACGGACAAACATGTATATCATTATTGGAAAACTTTTATTACGTTTATTGATGTATTTTAAAACTGTATGCCTTTTCTATTTGATTTTACTTCCAATTACTTCCAAACGTAGTGTGTCTGTTAAATAAGTATTAATTTCCCTAGCACAATTTCTAAGCACAATTTCTATCCTAGAAATAATTACTTGGGCGTCTATGATTTTTTAAAGATACATTACTATTCTATTGCTAGACTTATAATAACTGTGTATTTCCTCCAATAAATAGAATACCTAAGATGGGCTGATTATTTGAAGAGTTTCACAAAAAGTTTTGTAACTGGCTGAGGGGTCATATTATCTCGTATGCAAACAATAACAATTATATAAATTTGTGATTAGAAGTGATGGAGTATATTCCAATGGTGGTCAGATGCTTTTTTCATCAATAGGGAAGGTTAATACAACTTTTTTTTTAGTTAATACGCTGTTGTATCCTTTATGACTGCTGTAAAAAGAATGAGAATTAAGGTTGAAATAAACAATACGGTTTCAAGCCAGGATTCAAGAGTGTAAATTATTATTTTTTTTTGCGATAAGCAAGTTGAGTTGATAAATTAATATGTTTGCATCTAAAAAATCTTTAAAATAAATACACATCAACAATATAAATGATTATTTATTCGTATTTATTTTGTTTTAACACGATCTCAACATGCAGCCAAACTATGATTTATATATGCAATTTGTTA